TATCTTATACAACTCTTAGATCAGTTCGATGATAACTCTTTGTCTAAATACATCATATGTATTTTGCCTAACTATGCATCTACTACTATGCGATCATGTGTGACACATTCAAATAACATGATACTAGTTGAGTAAGACACGCCAATAACTCAAACGTACTCATGTAAAAGTTTGGCCTTGAGTGGCTCAAAAAGCCTCCAATTGAAAAAGTAACTTGGTTATCTTGTTATATGGTGGAAGGTAACTTTTTGACTCAATATTTAATGAGGGATTTTATTTATTAATTCATTAATTTAGGACTTATTGATTTGTCACTGTTGACTTGCATAGCATTTATCACATTTCACATATATCATATATATATATATATATATATATATATATATATATACTGAAAATAAATCTATCTCATGCCAACTACTAGGATAGTTATGGACTTTGCTAATTCTAATTTCCTTGAGCTAGTAAGGAAATTAGTTGGTCAAATTCATAGGGGATTTACACAAGCATTGTCTTCAAGCTTTGCTTGTAATCTCCTTGAATCTCCATGACGCCTTTGGATCTCCATCTTCAAGTTACAAAAAATTTTTTAGCTAACCCTAGTTTTACACTTTGATATAACTAATCACTTTATAATCAAAAACCTCAAGTTACATTTGAGGAGAGTTAGGTGAGAAAAGAATTTGACAACCCAGAGAAAATAGAGATAAGGCAGATGTGTAGATCCTATTTTAAAATAAATACCATGAGAAATAAATTTAACCATTCATGACCTAATATTCTAAGGTCTAAGTCCATAATCATCCTCATGCTTTATAATCATAATCAAAAGCATAGAAATAAATGTAAGCTCAATATCACTTGGTGATCTTGTGTGTTATTTGAAAAAATCATCAATTAATTCACTTAAAATACTAGACTCAAATTATTTGATATTGTTTTATTTCAATTTAGTGTTTAAGAAATTCTCAATTTCAAAACACTTTAAGTAAAAATTTTACTTCTTATTTTTTATTAGAAATTCATTGAAATAAAATTTTCCTCTTTAAGACTTTCCATTTTAATTCTTTCCATAATTAAAACTCCTTTTAATTTTGGCAACCTTTTTATTTTAGGTAAACTTCCTAAAATATATCTAAGAAACATTTTAATTTTTAACATTTAGAACATGGATTAGTTTCCTAAATTATATATTATTCAAGTTGCCTAAATGGTGACTTAATAAATTTTGAAAACTTCTAGTCAAACCAAAATTTTAAAGAAAGTTAAATGCTATTACATAACTTTAGGAATTTCTGGTAAAGTAGGAAACTATTTCCTATTAATTTTTCAAATTAAAATACTATCCTTAATTTTAAGAATTTCTTTTAAAGTGGGAAAAATTTCCTATTTATATGAATCACCCAAAATTAAAATTCTATCCTTAATTTTATAAATTGCTTTTAAAGTAGGAAACAATTTTCTATTTTTATAGATCACTCAAAATTAAAATAGATGGTTTTTAAGTGCTATTAAAACTCCATAAATCATTAGTCAAACTCATGAAAAAACTGCTGAAAATTTTCAGCAAGCGTGTTTAATAATTAAACACAAAATTCATGAAGAATTAAGCCATCAAAACTAATTATAGCTGTAAAAAATTTTCTGCATTGAATCTTTATTATTTTGTAACTTGAAAACTTGATTTTTATTAACCTTTTTCATATTCAATCAAGTTTGGCCGAAACAAATAGTAATTTAATTTGATAAAACTAATTTTTAATAATTAAAAACTACTCATAATACTTTTCTAATTTTAGTAAAAATAATTAGCACATTAATCCCAAAAACATCTCAAAACTATTCAGTTTTAACTTAGCTTCGCAAGCCTTTTAATCTATTCATTAATTATTCAACTAAACATGATTTTAAACTTTTTAAAGTATGTTTTAATGAATTAATTACATGCTGTCTAGATTTAACTTAAAAAATAGTAAATTTTAAAAAAAGCCTTTAAAATTGATATATACCAAATCAACACACAAATCA